TACACTTGAGAAGAAAGTGTATCCCTCCCAATATTTGGGAAATTTTCAGCCAGTTATTTAACTAAGCTTTCTGCCCCTTTCTCTTTCTCCTTCCAAAACTCCTATAATTCTTACACTTGTATACTTGATGGTACTCCATAAGTCCCTGATGCTTTCTTCACTTTTATTCATTATTTTTCTTTTTGTTCCTCTAATCGGTTAATTCCAAATGACCTGTCTTCAAGTTCACTAATTCTTTCTTCTGTATGGTTAAGTCTGCTGTTTAAGCTCTCTATTGAATTTTTCAGCTCTGTCACTGTATTATTCTGCTCTAGCATTTCTGTTTGGTTCTTTTTTATAGTTTCTATTTGTTTAATAAACTTTTCGTCTTGTTTATGCATTATTTTTCAAAATTTCATTTTTTAATTTTGTTGTTGTCTATCTGTATTTTCTTATTTGTCACTGAGCTATAAAATGATTATTCTGAATTCTTTTCAAGCACTTTGGAGGTCTCCATCTCTTTGGAATTGATTACTGGATATTTATTAGTTTCTGTTGACGGTGTCATGTTTGCTTGATTCTTCATTATCTGTGTAGACCTGCATCAGTGTTTGTACATTTGAAAGAGGAAATAACTCTTCCCACCTTTACTGATTTTCAGAAACAGGCCTTCTTCTGTTGGACCACCAGGCAGATAGGATTGCCTCCAGGATTGTGGTCAAGTAGCATTGGAGCCACATCACTTGACTGCTGTTAAATCCATAGCCAGTGGGCCTGTTACCAGGGCCTTTAGTGGGGCATAAATTCTGCATGGTCCCTGGATGGACTAGGCTACCCCCAGCACCTTGGTAAGTAGGGCTGATAATGCTGAGATGAGGGTCTGCTTCTAGGTTCTCAGACAACTGGCCTGTCATCAGGTGCACAGACTGGTGTGGCTACCTTTGGGCTTCTGGAGGGCTCCAAATGGGTAGGTCTCTGGGCAGGCAGTATTGGCCCCTGTCCACAGCTGAGAGGGGCTGGGGCCAAGTCTCAGCTGGGACCAAGGTCAGCAGGCCTGTCACCTGAGGCATAAGTGGGTGCAACTCCTCCTGGGTCCCTCAATAGATGATTCTGGTAGAGGGACCAAGACCAAACAGGACTGTAGCTGAGCCTATGGAGGGACAGGGCAGTTTCTGGTTCTGGATCTAAGACCATAGTCTGTGAACCTACCACATGGGCATAGTTCTGCCTTCTCAAGTGAGCTCTCCTAGGTCTCCTACCTTGATCCCAAAGCTCCCACAAAGGCACTTTTATGTGTGGATGGCTGCTAGACTATTGTTGCTGTTGGGGGATACAAGCAGGGGAGCTCCTATTCTGTCACTGTCTTGATATCACTTTCCCTACGTCTCAAAACACTTTCAGTATTCTCCAATGAACAAAACCCATGATCCTCCATTCAATCCATAACTCCATTTATGGAGTACATACTGTAACAAAGGTATTGTTGGGAATGGATGAATTATAAAGCATGGTTCCCGCCTTGGGTTGAATGTCCCCCCTAAACTTAATCCCCACTGTAACTGTTGAGGGTGGGAAATCCTATTATGGTAATTAAAAGCTGGGGCCTTGAAGAGGTGATTAGATTTTAGGACCATGCTGTAGTGATCAGATTAAAAGTGATGGTCATGGGTGTGGTTTGGAAGGCTATAAAAGGAGAATGAATGAAGAGGTTAGTCTCTCTCTGCTCTACCATTTTCACAAAGTGATGCTCTGCCATCACTGTCACCACCTCCAAGGCTCTCACCAGATGTGTTGCCTGGACTTTGAACTTCCTAGCCTTCAAAACTGTAAGCAATAAATTTCATTTTCTTACAAATTACTGAGTTCCGTGTATTTCATTATAAGCAACAGAAACTGACCGATACAGTTCCTGTTTACAAAGACTTTATGATCTAAGGAGACAAGCATAAGCAAGATGTAACTTCAATATAGCAATTTAGTACATAAGGCAAATACATATGATTAACAAACAGACCTTATTTTCTTTACAAGCAAATTGAGTCCATCTTGGAGCAGATGGAACTTTAGAAATTCTCTGATTCAGAATAGAGTTTTACCAAGGCTAATTTTAATAGTATCAGATTTTACCTTGAATTCTGAAAGAAGCAGGAAGAAGTAGGCCCCAACATCAAGAACAAGTACAGTTCTCTTGCAACTAATTCATTACAGCTTATTCTTATGTGTCATCATGGAAAAAGAAGTTGATGGACTAGTAGTGAGGATTTGTTTTGAAGAAACCAGGGTATCAGAAGACAGGTATGTGTTAAAGATTGTTAGCATAAAATTCATTTTTAGAGCACTTTTTTCCATTTTATCTACACAATATGAAAAAAATAATACCTGGCCAGAGAAGTAATTTTTTTCCTTTTATAAAGGTAAGCACTCCCTAGAAACTGATAAACTCTTGAATTATAAACCTCATCTGCCTGCCATTAACATCCTCTTAAACAGTCGGTATTCTAATTGTTTTTGTTAATAATCTATAGAATAATAAGCAACTTGTTTTTTAAAAATCATAAATAAACACTAACCGAAAAAAAATAGTAACAATGAGAAAAATATCTGTAAAAGTGCATGTTAATAATTTAACTTTTCTGTATTTAATAGACACAAATATTTCAGAAGTTACCTAAATTAGAAATCAGATTTCAAAAAAGTATTTATTACAAAGTGCTGGACATTGAAGATAAATTTAAGCTAATCTTTTTTTTATATTAAGAGGTACTTATAAAATAAAAATCTACATTTACTGGACTACAATATGGAAATATATAAAATAAAAGTTATTCTATTTATTTCCTGTTGCTTAATAGCCAGAATTATGCTTTTCAGTATAGTATTTAGGAAAGGTTTTCAACTAAGTTGTTGAAGTATAACCCTAGAGACTTCTGGGAATGTAATTATCTGGTTTGTTTTGAATCAGACTGTCTGCAGTTAGTCTAGTGTTTTAATAAGGTCTACAAGGATTAGAACTAGTCAACACGTGAATTATGAAACCCCTAGTCAACCTAGAACAGAAGAAAAAAAAAGACCAACTCATGGGAAATTGGAGTTTTCCTACAGGACTGTGGAATATTCACAACCATTGCAAGTTTAAGCCAGGAAAAATGGCATTCTACTAGAAAAGATTTTGTCATCTAAGGAGTTTAAAAAAGTTCTCAACATGTGAACTTTCTCAACAGAAGTGAAAAGGTATTCATCTACTATAGCTAACAAAGTAGAGAAAAGTGTTATTGTGATGCTTTTACAAACACCACAGGTAGTAAAAAATGTTATCTTCCAGCTTAGCTATTTTAGAAAGAAAATAGTTATCACAATTTTTTTCCTAAGAAATCGGCCTACATATTTGATGAAAATATTTTCCCATCATTTGTAACTATTAACTTTCTGGTATTTAAAATAATAAATTGATTTATAAACTATTTTTCTCTAGTCAAACTCTGACGATGCTTTTATTAAAAAACAAAAAAATTCTATAGACAGAAGTCTACAGTTCCAAACTAAACTGAGGCTCAAAATAAAGGGAAAAGGAAGAAAACAAGAAAGAATGTTTATTTTGATGGAGCAAACAAATCCAATCTAAGACAATAGGGGAGTTTTCTCAGAATAAATACAACTGATTTAGAGAGAGCTTAATAATAGGATTAAGCATCTCACTGCATATCATGATAAGAAATTCACCTGTAAAAACAAGGCCAGAAGGTGATTTTTTTTTAAATGGAGTTTAGAACACTGTGATGTAATCTAACATTTTTCAGTGTAATTCAAAGGGTCCCTGATGATCTGTCACAATTAGTAAGTAGAAACAGGTGAATCACCTTTGATAAATGGATTAACATATCTTAACTCCATCCCACTACCTTTCTTACATCTTAGTCTTCCCATCTTAGTTTCCCTTCTGAGATGAGAATGTGAACATCATCTGTTTGAAAGCTACAGTTCTGATGGTGACTTATGAAATGCTTTCTATGACAAACCAGTTCCCATTTGAGTTTGAGTTCTCCACAACTCCTTCAAGGGATGCATCATTCCTGATAAGACTCCCAGACTCTCCTAGGTGGAGACCGGGCCCTGGAACAAAGGAAGCAACAGCCCGGCTGGCACTTGGTCTCCAAGGGGAAGTATCTGTCACAATAACGTTGTTGAGGGTCATAATCACCACTGTACTGTGAGTAGATTCAGAGCCTATTCACATTAAACCTGATCAAAGGGGGCCGGCCCGGTGGCGCACTGGAGAGTGTGCCGCTTGGGAGCGCGGCGGCGCTCCCGCTGAGGGTTCGGATCCCATGTGGAGACTGGTTCCCGCTCACTGGCTGAGCGTGGTGCGGGCGCAACACCAAGGGTTGCAATCTCGTTGCCGGTCCCCGGTACGGGCGCGACACCGAGGGTTGCGATCCCGTTACCAGTCAGTAAAAAAGACAAAAAGGAAAAAAAAAAAACTGATCAAAGGTATTTCTAGTACCATATTAAAGTTATTAGAAATATCTAAAAACATGGCAGCCAGGATGACTCTAAATAGTACTCTAAAGCTTCCAAATACAGCTGTCTGAACTCAAATATAATTCAATTGACTAAGCAGAAGGGCTCTTGGAGATCTAACAATCTAAGTGTAAATGGCCTTTGTGGCATCATTTAGTCTTAGGTCTGAAGTTCAAAGAATATTTTTAAAGTGGGGAAGGGGATATTGTATCATTTTCTCACTTAAGTGTTTTGGGAATTGTAATTTATTTTATATTCTATCAGATTATTTTAGTAAGTCTCCTCATGGAATGGAAAACAGTCTACATTCAGTTTTAACAGTAAAACGTGAACTTTGGGGACATGAGGTATAAAGAGATATCAAGTTCATTATATAAACAAAGAGATTATTTTATTGTAGGGAGTATAATGAATAAAAAGTAATAATTTAACATTTCCTAGATTAAATGACAATTTAGAAAGTAATGTTTTGTAGTTTATCCAAAATTAAACAATGCATCAAGTATATTTTTAGATTTATTTTATTATATTTAATGAACTGTTTAACATTTTACAAATCTTCAGATTGTTAGTTTTCAGCAGTAAATATAGTATTAATGGCAATAAATACAGTGAAATGAGATTTCTCTGAAAGAATACAAAAAATAGAAACACTTGGAAACAAGAGGGCAAAATGTCAACTCTAGATCTCAAATGGAAACTAATACAGTCAAATTCCTTTACGATACTGGTACATGGGGAAATGAGTAACTCGTATCTTACAAATAAATGTATAACTTTGAGCTTCACCTTTCTGGGAAGTTTAAGGGTCATTATTTGATCCACAGATCTCTAAACCCTATAACATGTACTGGGGATTGAAACAGAGAAAGTGATCGGAAAGTGATTGCCAAAGCAAAGAAGTGCTTTTATTCCTCAATATTTGTGATCTTCGTGGTATACTACATATTATAAAAGGGCATAATCCCTACACAACTGCATAAAGTCATAAAAATTGATTTTATAAAGTCTCAAGATCATATGTATTCAAAAATACATATAGCTGTGCTTTAGTAAACGAATCCATCAGTTGAGAGATAATTTTGCCTTTAAGATATATCCAAAGTATATACAAAGGATCCACAAATGTTAACAATTTGTGACCACAATTATCTAGGTTTACATTTGCAAAAAATTGTGTTGGTTTTCAGTTTAAAAATTTAAGAAAGTTGTGATTATTGTTGGTTTATCACTTGGGTTCAGAAAAAGTAGATGGCTTCAGCTTCTTAGGAAATTTGTGAACTACTCACAAATGAGAAGTCCCACTCTTGATAATTAGAAAAGATAAATTGCTTATAATTCCCAATTGAGAACAGCATGTGCAGTATAAGAAAATGTTTTATTCTGGGCCGGCCCGGTGGCGCACTGGATAGTGCGCCGCTTGGGAAGTGTGGCGGCACTCCCGTCCGAGGGTTCGGATCCCACATACAGGCCGGCTCCCGCTCACTGGCTGAGCGAGGCGCGGGAGCAACGCCGAGGCCTGCGATCCCGTTGTTGGTCCCCGGGCCGGCACCGGGGCACCCC